CCCTCTCCTCCCCCCCTCCCCTCCCCTCCCCCTTACACCCAGCCCTGTGTGCTGCGTGTGTGGTATGTGTGTGGGGGGGGTGTGTCTGTGGTCTCGAGGTGTGGGGTGTCTCTGGTGTGTGCGTGTGGAGGGGCCCTTCCCTTGCTGCCCCCCTGCATTGCTGTGTCCCCCACACTTCGCACCCCCCTGGCAGCTGAGTGTGGCAGGGGGCCTGTGCGGTGTCTTTGGGTGGGAAGATGAGGTCACCCGGGTGGATCCTGGCCAGGGAGAGGTCACTCAGCAGCGTGAGCACTGCAGCCCCCCCGGCCGCAGCGCAGTGGACAGAAGTGGTGGCTGAGAGGTCAGTGGCCACTGAGGCCCTGCAGCCTCAGCCCCCGTTTCTGAGTGGAAAGCAGAGGCTCTTGACTGCGTAAGACACACCTGGCTGTGTGAGGTCAGTGTCAGGGCCCCTGCGCCCGGGCCCAGCCCCGCTGTCCTCAGGAGGTTCCCGGTTGCGGGGGTTCAGGCTGCAGTTTGAGTGGAGAAGCAGAAGCCCTGGGTGGACGCTGGGCCTGGGCCGGTGAGCGTGGCCACAGGCTCTGGAGCCTTCCCCTGTCCAGGGCTGAGCTCAGCCGCCTTAGAGCGGCACCACCCGCGGGGTCCCCGGAAGCAAAACTGTACCATGCTGACAGTGCCCCCTGCCACCCCCAACCCCCCGTACCCCACTTGCATTTCTGCCGTGCCTGGCGCTTCTCGGGAGGCCGCCCGACCGCCGTCGTCCTCCCGCCCAGGCGTTCCTGGACTACCTCCGGGGGATGGAGAGGCGGCCAGTGCGGACCCCAGAGGTGCAGCAGGCCCAGGAGCAGCTGCGGCAGCTGGTGTCGGCCGTGCAGGCCGCCCTGGCGCGCAACGAGGGGTGAGCGAGTGCTGCTGGGCCGCACGGGCCCTCATGACCGCGTTTGCACCCTGCGGGGAGCCCGGCCCTCACCGGCACGGCGCCCGGCACCCGCGCCGCCCCTTCTGCAGGCGCCCCAAGTCCTTCCTGGGGAGCCCGGGGCTTGTTGCTGGGGACAGCGCAGGGGGTCCAGGCTCTGTCCTGACCCCCGACATCTGTGCCCTGGAAACCTCTTCACTGCTCGGGGGCTCAGGGGGACAGGCCCGCACCCTGGGGGCATCTCCCCCGCGCATGCGGGCGCGTCCCGGGGCGTGCACCCCGTCTGTAAATGTGGCCCGGGTAGACCCGCCCTCCAGTGACCCTTTTTTCTGAAAAAC